ATATGGCAATTCAAAAGCCAGGAAGTGATTCCTTTAAGTGAAAAGGTATATATGGCCTAGCCTGCAAGGCTCAGTGGTTGAGCGCTGACCTATGAACCAGGAGGTCATGTTTCGATTCGTCAGGGCACTTGCACGGGTTGCAGGTTCAATCCCCAGTCAGGGGCATACAGGAGGCAGCCGAACAATGATTTTCTCTCATTGATGTTTCTCTCTTCCTCTCTGAAATCAACAACAACCAAAAAAATTAAAAGAAAAAGGTGTGTATGTGTATGTATAGGAAAAATACACACATTTTGTGTGTGTGTGTGTGTGTGTGTGTGTATTTCCGTACCATCTCCTGGGGGTCTTAGAACTTATCCCCTGCAGATAAGGAGGGACTGTGTATGGTATTTGGTGCCACTAGCCTGCACCCTGATTCAGCTCTTGGCAAAACAGAATTGAAGTCCCCCCTACTAACAGAAATAGCCCCTGGGTCAGAGGGCAAAATAACCCCAAAATAACTAAAATGCCCATTTTACAAATAATGAAAATAAGACTGAAGATTTAGGTGATTTCCCCCTTCCCCCAAGATCACAGCAATGAACTAGAAAAGAACATCTAAAAATAAACACAAATGTTTAAAACATATGTATTTTTGGCCTGTAATTATTTGTGTATAATTTTTACAAAATTATGCCGAAGCCGGTTTGGCTCAGTGGTAGAGTGTCGGTCTGCGGACTGAAAGGTTCCAGGTTCGATTCCGGGCCAGGCAGTATCTTGGTTGTGGGCACATCCTGGGTAGGGGGTGTGCAGGAGGCAGCTGGTCGATGTTTCTCTCTCATCGACGTTTCTAGCTCTCTGTCTCTCTCCATTTCTCTGTTAAAAATCAATAAAATATATATTTTTTTAAAAAGTTAACCTTTATTGTTGAAAGTATTACATATGTTCCTCCTCCCCCTCCCCCATTGACCCCTCCATCCCGCCCTACCCCCCAACCCCAGGCCTTTACCACCCTGTTATCTTTGGTTGGTTACCTCCCACCCACCCCATCTTCCCACCCAAATTCTTCACTCTGTTGCTTTTCATATCTTTTTTTTTTTTTTTAAGTATGTCATATTCTTTTCACCTTTTGGAGGTCTGCACTGTCTGTGTTAACCTGGTAGCAACAGCTAGCAGGGTAAGCGTCTTAAGGGTTCAGATGTGACCAGACCTAGTTGCTGAATGAGTTATAGATCAATGATAGCAGTCCTCACTATAAGTCCTGGTTCTCTCCTGTTCTTTTCCTCTTTACATTAACCGACACTCCCTGGGCCTCAGGGTCTGCAACTGTCAGTCCTGCTCTTGCTCTAAGAAGCAAATCTTAGGTTCCTTGAACTCCTCGGAGAAAGCTTTAGAGAGATAAATGTGGGGTATAGAGGGAGGAGGGTTAATTTTAGCGTGGGGCTTTCCAGCTGGCACACTGTTACCATCTTGAATCACTTCCACACCCTCCCTGAGCTCTGCCTGGGAGATCCCTCCTCCTGGGGGCTTCCCCATTACTGGTTTGGTCTACGCCACAATGGTAAGCATTTCAGAAAAATGCTTAAGAGAAGCCTGGCTGAGTCACTTGATGCACACAGCTCAGGAGGCAAAGAAAGTACAGTGAACAGAGACCCTGGTCCCCATAGTGCCTGCGATCCAAAAACCAAAAGGATAGGATAGTCATTGTTCATGTTCTTCATCTGTCAGTATGCAATGACTCTCTGCTCTACCATTTATTGGCAGCCTTCTGAGGGCCTCCAAGGTTCCATTGTTTCATTTCCAACTCCATGAGAGGAAGGTTAGGATCTGTTCCCTGTGGGCTCAAGCCTATTCCTGGTTAGCATGGCAGTGTGATTTCTTTGGGGCAATTCCTTTAGGACAACTCAGAAGACTAGGATGTCTCCTTTCTCCTCTGTCTCTCCATCTGACTTTCCATAGGGAAGAGAGCATTCAGGGAGAGGGAGCAGGTGAGAATTTCCAGTGTTTTTCTGGTGTATTTTAATATATTTAAATTTAGAGAAACAGCAGTCTAATCAGGCAATAATTAATTCCCTGTTCATCAGGGGCCTTCATGTGTGCCTTTTGCATATGGATGAGCCACAGGGTCACACTGTCCCTCTGAAGAGACAGTTGCTGAAGGTGACAGAGCTGAGTGTGCTCTCCAGGCACTTGAGCTCCTTCCCCTTCCATCCTGTGCTTCCCCCTCCCTGCACCTGACAAGGACTAAATTCCTGTGGGGAAAGAAGAGAAAGGTTAATGAGGCTTCCTCTCCCATCCTCCAGGATTCCTCTCTCACTGCCCCCAACCCCTCCCATCAGCGCCTCTTCCCGGACCCTCAGGTCCCATCCAGCCATCCCACCCACCAGCTACCCACTGGGATCTCCTCAGGCTCCACAGGGTTGCCTCTGAACCCTCATCAACAGCTTATTTGCTCTGTACCTCTGCTTTTAGTTGGTTGATCACTCCTTGACCCCCCTCTGCTTCTTCCCTCTGTCACAGTCTGTTTTTCTTAGGGAGTCTGACATCCCGGATGCACACTCTGCTCTGCTCCTGAGAAATATGCTGCCTCCTCCCCCACTAACCTTTGTGCACTGCATGGACTCAGTCTTACTTCCCTGAGTCCACAGTCAAGCTCCCCGACACCTAAAACACACGCCTACCAACCCATGTACATTCCTAATCAGAGCTACAAATATAAACACATGTATGCATACACAGCCCGGGGCAGCCCAGATGCCTTTTGGCATATTCCAGTCTCTGGTCCTCCCTGGAGCTCCCCATTTCCAGGGAGCAAGGGGGGAACAGATGGGGGTGGGGAGAGAAATGGGACCAGGGTGGTTACCATGGCAACGGAGCCTAGCAACAGCTGAGAGGCTGATGTGTGTGTGGGCTTTTGCAGGGTTGTTACAAGAGCCAAACCTAGAATTGGGGGCTCAGAGGTGACTGATCCCAGCTGGGCAGCTTGGTTCCCCTCCCCCAAACATATCCCTTGATTCCACCTCCACACCCTATTAGAGAAAGCAGGGTGGGGGAAGCTAATGAGTTAATACAGGGCTTCTAATGCTACACAGCTTTTGGGGGGCAGGTTAGGGAGCATGGCTGAAAATAAACCAAGCAAGGCAGCCTCTTTCCCATTGCTCACTTTTCTCTTCTTTCACCTTCCACCCTCCATCTGTCTTATCAGCTCTCTCTTCATTTTCTTGCTTCTCCATGGCCTGTCCTTCTATGTAATTTGCCCTTATTTTTTTAAAATATATTTTATTGATTTTTTTACAGAGAGGAAGGGAGAGAGCTAGAGAGCTAGAAACATCGATGAGAGAGAAACATCGACCAGCTGCCTCCTGCACACCCCCCACCGGGGATGTGCCCGCAATCAATGTACATGCTCCTGACCGGAATTGAACCTGGGACCTTTCAGCTCGCAGACCGACGCTCTACCACTGAGCCAAACCAGTTTCGGCAATTTGCCCTTATTTTGTCTCCTTTCACTTGGTCTCTCTTGACCTGCACTGGCAAGTAACAGGCAAGCTATTCTTCCAGTTTCTCGTGCTCTGTCTGCTCCTGATCAGGACTGCTCCCTTCAGTTCTCTTCCTTCTAGCTAGTCCTAAGTTAAAGCCCATGGATCCCAACTCCAGGTCAGAGTAGGCCAGTCACATTCCTGGGTTCATCCTCTTTCTCCCTCTTGGCTGCCCATCACCTCTCCTCCCGTCCACTCTACGGGGCTCATAAGAAAGAATCAGGGAACTCAGGTATCTTGCAAAGGCTTTATTTGAAAATTTTGAAACTTACATCCCACAAGAATTCAAGATTATCACCACAAGAAGAAAGAGATAATACAAAAATATATATCACAGCATAGGAGCCAGGTAAGAGAGGAAGAAGGAAGGTGGAAAAAATTATGAGAAATAGGGACAAACCTGGGGGCAGGGGACAAAAGGAGGGAGAGTGGGAGAACAAAGGAGGGAGGGAAGGAGAGATGTGAAGGAGCCCAAGGGGAGGGAAAAACTGGGAGGTAAAACTCCCAATGGCCTTGAACCAGCTGGCTCCATTCCCTGGCAGCCTCAGTGGAATTAAGGAGGCCCTTAGAGAGGCTGGGAAGTGGAGGACGGGCTCAGGGGGCTCTGAATTCCAGAGAGTGACACACACACAGACAGCCAGGACAGATAAGACAAAAGGGGCTTAGGAGGAAGGGCAGGGCAAATGGGAGCCCCTTTCTTGGGTAGTGCAGCAGGTGACTCCCCAAAACCCATCTCCCAGACAACAGAACTTAGCAGTGGGGTGGGGGAGAAGTGTGGGGCCTCACTACCCTCATCCTTATGGGAGCCCTCAGGGTATGAGATCACCCATGGAGTGGAGTGAGGGAGACAGTGAAACGCATGACATAGAACAGGATGGGCCATGACAGATGGGGGCACGGGGAGTCCCCAGCTCACCTCCCACCCACCTCTGAGGCAGCATGCAGGAGCCCCAGAAAACAGATCAGTGGGTGTTTGTGAGGGAGAATGTAAGCACAACACGCAGCACAGCATGGGGCCAGGAAATGCATGTGAGAGGAATGGTGAAGTCACCCACTGACCACTGAGTGACTGAGATGAGCATGAAATGTGGGAAGAAGAGAGAATGAAAAATGAGAAACAAAAGGGAGAATGTGAGGGGGTCAGCAGAGGAGAGAGAGGTGGATGAGGAGAGGGTGCAGAAGGCTGGCTGCACAAGAGCATGAGTGTGTGCAATGGCACGTGAGGGTGGAGGTGAGTGTGCAAGGCTTTCATGTGAGTGTGCAAGGGTGGGGACGGGGCACCAGAAACCAGAGGCCCCACTTAAAGGAGGGTGAACAGATGGGATTGCCTACAGGGCCAGTGAGTGTTTCAGGGTAGTGTGCCAGGGCAGAAGCCAGGAGCACCTGCAGCTCCGGCTCCCACAGCTGCCCTACCCTCAGTGGGATGGTGGCTATGCCGACCCCTTGGCCTTCTGCTTGGTGGCACCCCAACATTGATGGGCATCACAGATTCACCAGGGGAATCCTGAGAGGAAGAGGGAAAGGGCGCAGTCAGGAAACAAGGGGTAAGCCGGAATTGAAAGGGGAGTCCAAGACAAAGGGAGTCAAGGCTAAGAGGGTGGATTTGGAGTTAAATGGCAGCATGAGAATAGGACAGAGATCCACAGAGCAGGAGAAGGAAGGGTCCCCCCAGAGAGGAGGGGTCCAGGCTCCTTAGGAGGGCCAGGGACCAGGTTGGGAAGGAGAGCCAGGGGCTCTGGGAGGGCCAGGCCTACCTCCTTCCCACCCACCCAGGAGGGAGCGCCCCCAACCACAGCTCCAGAGACCTAAATGTCCTCCCTTCCCCGCCCTCCATCGTTTTTGCCCTGGCCCTCACCGGTTCAACTGGAAGGCCGGAGCCCCTTTGGGCTGGGGCATCCCAGGCCCAAGCCGGGGTCCCCCTCGGGGCTCCTCGTGGTCAGGGGTGGGGGTTGGCGAATCCCCGAAGGCCCCCAGCACAGTGACCCCGGCCGGGGACAGGTCTGTCAGCGGCTGCTGGCTCTCCTCCTGCCTCAGGGCACCTTGCTGTCCTGAGGGCCTGCGCCGCTTCTGGCTGCGGTCCCAGCTGGTGCACCGGAAGGGAAGAGGTTCTCTCACACACTTAGGCCCCCATCCTGAGCCTGCAGGGTTGGTCACCCCCAGCCTCCCTTAGGCACCCCTAAGGCTCTATGGCTGAGAAACAGGCCTCTAACAGTTCCCTTCACCAAATCTGAAACCAAGTGTCCATAAAACCACTTCTCCCACCCTGCCCCCCTGGGACGCTGGGGTCTAAACCATCCTCCCAACCTGGTCCAGATCCATGGAGTTAGTATTTCCTCCCCACCAACAGGTAGAATCCCCCGGAATCGCCGCCTGGGGAGCGATTTCTCTCCTCAGCTAGCACCTTGGCAGGTTTAGTTCTAGTTCAAAGTCAGCTAATGACCTGAACACTTTAATGATTCTCTCAGTAAAGTGTGAAGGACTGGGTGACCCATTATTAAATACAGGCAGAGCAAGCTCCAGATTCCCAGGTGCCCTAAGAAGGGGCTCTGCAGACTGGGTCATTGTTCTCAGTCTTGGAGGAAATGGGGACAAGGAATGCCCATGAAAGCCCTAGCACACATAATACCCCCTTCCCCCACCTCTCCCATTATCCTTGTATATCCCTGGGAGAAGGAATGTGCCCAGGTTTCTCACTGTCTACCCCACCCAAATCCTTAACTACCTTTCCCTAAGGTCTTGCCTTAATCTACCACCCCCTATCCCACCCCCAGCAAAACTGCTGCCCTTGCTCCTTCCCTCCTTCCAGCCAAGCATCCAGTTCCCAACTGCTTAGCGCCCTCATCCCCACAGCTTACCAGAACTTGAAGATGATGCCAGTGGCCACGAGAACAATGATGATGGAGATGGTAATTGTGACATAGAGCTGGGGGTCCACACCTGATTGGGGTGGGAAGAAGGTTTTAGGGAGGCTCAGGGTGGTAGGAGCCACGAGGGAGTGGGGACGGGGCTAGGCTGCAGGTCCCGTAAGCTTGAGGAGGGCTGCCACTGGGAATCCACATTGCCCAACTCTTTCTAGAGCCCCTCCCTCTTTATTCCATTCATCAGCTTTATCCAGAGTTTTCAGCTCTTCTCCTCCCAAACCCCCCACTTTCCCAATCCTGTATGTGTGTGATGAGGAGGGGGCTCCAAGGTCCGAGATAACCCTGTACAGAAACCAGGGGGTGGAACCGTCCATCTCACCCCCAAACCACTGGCCCTGGCTCTGCACTCTCTGAGCTGAGCTGTCACCCCGGAGTTCCTTTCATGGAGTTCCTCTGCATGGAATGCACCCACTCAAGGTTCAGGTCAAATGTCAATTCTTGGAAGGCGTCCTGACCCCCAGCAGAGGCAGTCTCCTTCTTTTCTTTCTTTCTTTCTTTCTTTCTTTCTTTCTTTCTTTCTTTCTTTCTTTCTTTCTTTCTTTCTTTCTTGTTTTGTTTTGTTTTGTTTTGTTTTGTTTTGTTAATCCTCACCCTAGGCTATTTCCCCATTGATTTTTAGAGAGCGTGGAAGGGAAGGGAAGAGACACAGAGAGAGAAACATCGATGTGACAGAGACACATCAGTTGGTTGCCTCCCGCACGCCTCAACCAGGGCCAGGCATCTGTGGACCAGAATCAAGCCCAGGGCCCTTCAGTCCGAGGGTTGATGCTCTATCCACTGAGCCAAATCGGGCTCTCCTCTTTCCGTAAGCAACACGCTATGCATGCCTCTAGCAGAGCACTCATCACACTGACATCCCCAAGTGTTTACACATCTGTCTCCTTCAATGGCCCTGAGCTCCTCCGGGGCTCAGCCGCACCACCGTCATCTCTGCCTCCTGTGCCAGCGTGGCGCCTGGCACGTTTGTGGAAGGAACTAACGGGCAAGGCCTCTCCTGCCGCCCTGAGCTCCAACCACCCTCCTGTGGGCCTTCCCACCCTCAGATCCCACCACCCTCTCACACTCCCACTCACCTTCCCCACGACCCCCGAACAAGAATGGCCGCAGGGTGGAAGGTGCTCCTCTAAAGATGATCCCGTCTCCGTCGCCCCTCATGGAGTCTGAGTTGGGGTGTGGGGTAGCCAGCCCATGGGGGGCTGCAAAGCCATAGTCCAGGGGCAAAAATCCAGGATTGGCAGAGTTGGGATCCCCCCCCTCCTCTCGAGACACTGTGGGGCCCCACACAATAGCCCAGGGATACTGGGACGAGGGCGGCCCCTCTTCAAAGCCTGACGGGGTGGCAGGGGGCGCAGTGCCTGGCAGGACTTGCCGCCTGGATCTTGGGACCCGAGGGGATCGGCTGGGTGGGGGTGCCCGCTCCCACACACAGACATGGTGTGGGGCTGAGGGGCCTCCCCGGGCGCATGGGGGGCGTGCTGGGGCTGGTGGGGTTCGAGGGGAGGAGGAGGAGGAAGAGCCTTGAGCAGGTGGTGGGAAGGGCAGCAGCAGCAGTGGCCAAAGAGGGAGGAGGTGGGACAGCAGCAGTGCAGGCCTACAAAGAGGGAGAAAGAGAGGGTGAGACAGAAGCCCGTCCGGGGCCTGTGTGTGGGGAAGACAGGCTCGTACCTGCGATCCCCAGCTGCCTCTCTCCAGGTCTCTCTGCAAAAGCAGGCGGGGTTTGGGAGGTTCAGTCTCATTTCCCATCTTCCTAGGGGCTAGCCCTTAGGATGGAAGGCCCTTGATGGGTCTAGAGAGGAAAGGGCCAAGGCCTGGGGGGGGGGGGGGGGGGAAGCTCCCTCCGCTGTACCAAACTCACCACATCCTGGACTCCATGTTCGAGATCTTCCTCAGCTGTGACCCAGATTTTCAGCCTTTACTGGGGAAGAGAAGGGATTGTCACATCCCCACCCTGCCCCGTGTTCTTCCCCAGCTCATTCATCCTCCAATTCTACCCACATCTCCCCTCCCGTGCTGCTGGCTGCCAGCAACGCTGCTGCCACCCAGGATTCACTGCTGTTGAGCACCCTTTAAGGGGGAAAAAAACTCCCAAAGTGGCTCCCTGTCTAGCTCCCAACCCCTCTCGACAACCACCCAGTTTGCTACTGTCTCCCCACTTCGGGGTCTACTCTCACTTCTCAGGCTTCCTTCTCACTTCCTTGCTCACAGCTCCAAGCTTTTCTTGGATCTTAATTTAGAGTCAAGAACCTTGTGATTCCTTGAACACCTACCGCTAGGGAAAGAGTCAGGGTGGGGGAGGGTAGGAAGTCAATCTGAGTGTGTGAATGTGTGTGTGGCACCTGCCCAGCCTGCCCACTCCACTGGTAGTCCCAGGCAATTCTCTGAGGATTGGCCCCACGAATCTGCATCTTTGGGAGAAGGGGAAGAGGAGATGGAGGGAGGGAAGGAAAGAGGCAGAGAGAGGTGAGTGGGGGGGAAAACTACAGAATATACTTTTTGCTCGGTATTTAATCAGACAAATGTTCGATGCCCTCTGAGGGAGGGGCCGCCCCTTTAAATGTAGCTCTCCTGGGTGAAGAATCCTGGAAGAATCAGGATGGTTGGTTTGGAAAGAGGAAGGACATGTTTCCAGGGTTGAGGGTGCTGGACCCAGGGTGGGCCAGGCTCGCCTAAGTAAAGAAGAATATGACACCCTGTAGATTTTGGGTCTAAATCTGCACTCTAAGTATTCTCAGAGAATAATGGGAATAAGATAAGAAAGTCTGGGGAAGGGATTGGGGAAATGGGCCGTGGGGAGGGATGTGAAGGGGTGAAGGGCCCAGAAAGGAACGGGTGGGTTAGGAGCGAGAAGGAAGGAGAAGAGTGAAGAGGAGGCCAGCAGAGACCACAGAGGGAGGGACAGGAGTCCGTCCTGAAAGAGAACAGAAGAGGGGCGGTACAGAGGCCTGGAAGCTCGGAGGATGCTGAAGGGAGAACAGGATGAGTTAAAGGTCAGGGAGGGGAACAGAGGGTGAGGAGGTCACAGCAGCAGGGGAAGAAGGGGAAAGGGCAGGAGGGGACAGAAGGAAGGTCCTGGCCGGGAGGGAAGATGAGACAGGTGGAAGGGGAAGGAAAAGGGGGGTGAAGAAGAGCAGGGTTGGAGAGAAGGGAAATGGGAAGGGAGGGAGCATCATACCGGCGACAAAATAGGAGGAAGGGATGGGGACCGAAGACAAACAGCCAAGATGGAGGAGTTGGAAATTGCTTCTTTCGATGTAAAGGGATGTGGAGCTATGGGAGGAGACAGGGGTAGGGGCCTGGTGGGAAGAAGGGAGCGAGGGATGGCCGAGAAGAAGCAGGAGGGAGGAAGTAAGGCGTGTAGGAGCGAACCAGCGAAGCGGAGAAGGGCTCATGGGGTTGTCTTTGGCCAGCTGACTCCAGGACCCACTCACCTCTCCGCCTTGGGCATCACCCCGTCCCCCCGACGTCCACTCGGGTCCCAGGACCCTAAGCCCCTCCAGCCACCCCTTCCAGGAAGCCCGCAGTCCCCAGGCTGGCGCGCCACCCCCACCCTTGCCTCGCGCCTCGCGGACCTGTTGTGCGCAGGAGACCAGATGGGGGTGGGGCGGGCGCCTGGAGGTGGGGGATCCCAGCCCCTTTTCCAGCGCGGCCCCAGCCCACCCCTCTCACAGGCCCGCGCTCCCCGCTGGGAAGCAGCGCGAGTTGGGGAGAAAACGAGGACCCGGAGGAGGTCGGCGAAGGGATAGAGACCCGATGGGGACCCGACGCCAGAGGATGCGAGGAGCCTGAGCTGGGGAGGATGGAGGCGGCCCGGGGACGGCGACCGCTGCGCCAGGAGGGTAGGATGCAGCCGGGACCGGAGCAGGGATGGGAGCTCCGCAGGGAAGGGGCGCCTCGGGACTGGCGGCTGGGACCCGGCGGGGGGCCGCGCCGGGAGAGGCGGGGGCGAGAGGCTCGGAGTTCGGAGGGACCAGGCCGGGCTCCCTCGGGTGGGGACGTGGGGGTCCCACTCACCTGCGTGCCTAGCGCGGCGGCGCGACGGCTGCAGGCGCTCGGGGCTGCGCCGGGCTGGGGGGACGCGGGAGCGGGTGGGGTGCGGGGCATGGTCAGGGGGCTGGCCGGCGGCGGGGTGCTGGAGAGGGTGGGGGGCGGGCGCCCGGGGCTCGGGGCGGCGGCAGTGGAGGCGGCGGCGGCGGCGGCGGGAGATGCTCCGCTCGGCTCGGCTCGGCTCGGCTCGGCGGGGCTCGGCGCGGCGGCTCGGAGCGCTCGGTCTCCTCCGCTCCTCCGCCCGCCCCGCCGCGCTCGGCTTAACCCTCCCGCTGCCGCACCGCGGGAGGCGCGCTCAGCTGTGTCTCCCAGGTGCGAGGCTGGAGAGGGCGGCGGAGGCTGGGCGACCGTCTGACTCCCCGCTTTTGGATGGCGGGCTTCTCCGCCCTTTTCACCCAACGCCGTGGAAGCCCACGGTCACCTCACTGCATTCCCGAGATTCTGCGTCGCCCACGGTTTCACCCCCGGTGGGCATCTGGGCAGGGGTGGCCGTGCAGACCTCGCACCAGCCTTGCGTTATCCCAGTGACTGGGTCCCCTGATTCCACTCTGGCCTGCTGCCACGCGTGGCCTGCAAAGCAACCCGATTATCTTTAAAATAAGTAGATCAAGTCGCATTACTCAGCTTATCTAGCAATCGGAATAGCCGAACTCCTTACTGCGGCTTACAAGACTATAGGACCTAGCCCCCGGCTCTCTGACTTCTTTTCCCAACACGGCTTTATGCCCAGCCACACTGGGCCTGACCTGTATTTCTAACACCAGAGGAGCTAACTGGCCACGGGGTCTTTGCACTTACTATTCCCTGTGTCTGGAATGCCCCCCCCCCCCCCCACACACACACCCGCTTTTAACAAATGACTCACACTTTTCATTATAGTTCACTTAGATCCAGTGTCACCTCTTCTGGGAGGCCTTAAGTAGTTTCCTTGCCCTAGCTGGTTTGGCTCAGTGGATAGAGCTTCGGACTGCAGGATCCTAGGTTCTATTCCCATCAGGGGCACACGCCTGGATTGCAGGCTCAGTCCGCAGTGTGGGGCGTGCAGGAGGCAGCCTGTCAGTGATTCTCTCTCATCATGGATGTTTCTATCTCTCTCTCCCTCTCTGGATCAAATATATATATAGCTTACTCTGCCCCAGCCCAGCCCATTCATCCACTCATGTCTATCACAATCAGATTTTTGTTTGAATTTATTTTAGGGAAGGAGGAAGAGAGAGAGAGAGAGAGAGAGAGAGAGAGAGAGAGAGAGAGAGAGAGTGAGAGAGAGAGAGAGAGAGAGAGAGAGAGAGAGAGAGAGAGAGAGAGACATTGTTGCCTCCCACACCTTGACCAAATCGAACCCCAAACCTAGGTATGTGCCCTTATTAGGAATCAAACCCACCGCCTTCTGATGCGCTGGGAGGATGCTCCAACACACCGAGCCACAGCAGCCAGGGCCACAACCCGGATTTATGCAGGTTGCACTTCTAGGACACCACGCTCTTGTTTCCCTTTAACCTTCTGGCTTTTCTCTCTCAGTCTTTTTCTGCTTAACCTCTAAACGTTAGAGCTTCTGAGGGCTTAGTCCTTGGCCCTCTTGTCTTTCTACATCCTCTGTCCAATGATGTCATCCAGTCCCAGGGCTTAAACACTATGTAAATGTCAGTGAGTCCTAAATTTATATCCAGAGCTCTAGACTCATCCAACAGCTTCCTTGACATCTCCACTTGGATGTCTAATAGCCAAAGCTAATGCAGCTAAAATGCGTCTTGAATTATCTCCTGGCCAACTCCCCCCCTCCCCACCCCTGGTGTTTCCCATCCACTTCTTCAGGCTAAAAACCTAGGAAACGTCCTTCCTTCCTTCCCCTTTCTTTCTAATCCCCGCCCTGTATCTAATTCACCAGCAAGTCCTGTGAGTTCTGCATCCAAAATATATCCTGAATCCATCCACTTCTCCCCACCTTTGTTGCTCTCACCCTGATCTAAGCCATCATCTTTCATCTGGAATAGTGCAATAACTTCCTAGCTGTTCCTTTGCTCCTCCCTTACCATTTACAAACTTGTCTTCACAATGTCTAAGAATACAGACTCATATCATGCTCTTCCGTGCTGACAATATTTCAGTGGCTTTTCATTGTATTCGGAATAAATCTGAATTGTTAGGAGAGGCCCTTCCCCTTGTACTCCTCAACGTTCAAACAATGTTCCTGCCAGATTGGACTTCTGGATGTTCTAGAACAGCGGTAGGCAAACTGCGGCTCTCAAGCCATGTGCAGCTCTTTGGCCCCTTGAGTGTGGCTCTTCCACAAAATACCACGGCCGGGAGAGTCTATTTTGACGAAATGGTGTTAGGAGAAGTTTAAGTTTAAAAAATTTGGCTCTCTAAAGAAATTTCACTCATTGTACTGTTGATATTTGGCTCTGCTGACCACTGTGCTAGAACATCCAAAATCATGCTCTTAGAACCCTGCACTTTTGGTTCCCTCTTTCTGGGAGCCTTTGAGTCCCCCCGCCCCTCTCATTTTTACCCGGTTGGCTCCCTTTGGTCACGCAGCCACCCACTCTATTTCATCAGTGTGTCTCATTGTCTTTCCAACTCATCCCACTCTCTGAGATGATCTTATATTTGTTTATTGTTTATTGCCTGCCCCACCATACATACTCTAGGGCTTGGCATATACACTGAGTGGCCAGATTATTATGATCTCTGAACGCATAATAATCTGGCCACTCAGTGTATATCCTATATAATAAAAGGCTAATATGCAAATTGTCCCCTCCACCAAGAGTTCAACCAGCAGGCAGGCTAGCCAACCGCCCATGTCCCCTCCCCTTGGCCAGGCTGGC